TTATTTTTCAGAAATTTACGTTCATACTATTTGGGCAATTTGATTGTATTACACAAACCAGAAACGTTTTATGATCGCCTTTGGAATTTTACGAGTACTTACTCTGGGATGATATCTTTAAGGCTGTTTTACAGTGCGATATACGCTGAGATAAAAATACGTGGAAATAACATCAGAGGTAACTATAGAGAACCCACGCCATTCGCTGCTACTTTCAGTGCTATTGAATGACCTTTTCGCAGAAAGAAGGGGGGTCTTGTCTACGCCAAGTTATTTTGTCTGGAAACAGACTCTATTTGTCAAATATGACGCTATGTCACCGTGATCCCTGAAACTAAACGATAGCTTGTGTTCTTAATTACCACACAAAATCGAGGATGTTGTAAACACAGCCTTTACCAACATAATCAATTGCCTTGATGACACCATTTGTCTCAGCCCATTAACTGATTTATTACTGGTCTGAGCATATATAGTTTTCTCAGTCCTGTCACCCACGCAATCTCACGGAGTTGTGTTTATCTTTGACTGTGTTACTGTCAGTACAGTGTATATTCTGCGTCAACTCATGGAGTTATAAGAATTCATACTACTCTTACTTGACGCAATACTCATGCCAGTCTGTAAATGATTTTGATGAACCTCCTTGAATAAATAAACAGGGTAGGAATGATCGGGAATATTTTTTACTAATTCTGATTTACGAGTCTATTTACTTTGACTAAAATAACATCACGTATAACGGTGGTAATATTTCAAATCATAATACGTCATTGTTCAATAAATAGCCTAAATATGCCAGAGTTAATTTATGTATCGTATAAGAAACTAGTAATTTGAATTATACCATTACTTTTATGAAATCAGCTGCATATATCCGTCAATAAACTGTCAAATCTTGGATTGAGATGTCATAAAGCTGTATCTAATTTAAGTAGAGCACTTCAAACATACTGCATCAACATTCCAAATTTGTAATTATGGTACAGCGCCCTCTGTGACAGATTACTGGATCATATTTTGCACAATTTCAAGTGAAAATGTACAAGCACCGTAGCTGGTGCATGTGGTTTTATCCAGTTATTTGTGTCTTATGTCTCCATTCCCTTTAGTTACGTTAATAATAATAAATTATGTGTTAATTACGTTCGCAAACTATTGGTTGACAGAGGTAGTTGTGCAAAATTCATGTTAATATCTGTTCGACATTTGTTCACATATTTGTATTAATATTTCAGCTGCTGTTTGTATATCAGAATACTATATAGCCAAACATATTAAATGAACAGTTATTAGATATTTGAAATAATGTACACATAATCATATCATATTGTTTGTCACATCACATATGGAATGGAGTGGAGTAGTCACACAAAAACAAATCCATATATAAAACCATTCGTAGCTTTATACAATACACAGTAATGCAAATACAAATACAATACATGAATATTATTGGAATTATTTGACCTTTTCTACTGAATTAAATTTACAATAGAAAATAAAAGACAGATTATTAATGTAAACAACGTAAACAATAGTGTCACATGATTCTCTGGTGCAATTCCTGGAATCTACGTGACGTCATCCATATAGCTGACTTATCTGGATAGCACATACATTGATTTATTAACAGGGGCACATGCATGTCTAATTAATAACAATTAACAGCAGCGAAAAGCGTCATTTTTTCGGGTGCGAACGATCGGTTCTTGTCGGCCTGTCACTGCGCATGCGCATCCGCAGTGCGACTGCCTATACGACGCACGTAAAATACGTTGTGTGTTTGCATAATATTTAGAAAGTGTGGTGAGGCATATAACATGTATTTCTGAATGTCGTTCAAGTTTGTTGTTTTGTTTCACTTCATAATTCTACTATCTTTTGTATACTTAAGTAAATTTGTAAACACAACTTTCGTAGATTGGGGTTATTTTGAGTAGGTTTTAGCCTATTGCCTACTTATCCTTCATTACAAAACAAATGAATTGTTACTAAATACATATTGTAACGTCAATACTATCATTTATATCTCGCTAAATATGTGCGACAATTTGTTTTCTGTACCTGAATGTTTTTTTATATTCACTAATAGAAATTATGATATTACGCAACCAATATTTACGTATTGATAATTTGCATAATGATTGATTAACTAAATATTATCATATATTTTCAAATTGAACAGCTTTTTAAAATCCTAATTGAACATAATGTGTGTGTATATTAATAAGCTTAGATTTCATTTAAAAACATGTATACTATGGTTAAATGACTTTCACTTGTAAATATTGCCTATTTTGTGAGTTCAAATAGCTGGTCTTGATTTGCGCTCTTTTGTGAGAAAGTAACATGAACTATCTGTTATTTTTTCGTTTAAATTGTCTGTTTCTCACGACAAATATTTGCATCGGCTTTTTAACTGCCACACTGGATATCTAAATGTATCTAACCTGACTTCAATGATCGACTTTCAATGTATTGTGTAGGATGATGTATCATGTAGTATGGTGTACTACTCACAATGCGAAAGCAACATTAATAGGAGTTCTGTGTAACAGTGTAAATAGTGTAAACTAGGTGGGGTGATGACGGGAAACATAACTCTACACCTGAGTGAAATACCAGACCGCCTCTCATTGAATTCTAGTTCTTCAATCGATATATGGCGCCCTTCAGTACACAGTGTAATGATAAACCGTATCTTGGGTATATATAAATGAAACATCAGTTGAATGAACTTATAATATGATAATTTCAAATAAATAAATATTTCAAATATTTACACGTTAGAGTCAAACGTGTTATTTATGTAGACGTTTCATGTATGATTGATTGAAAGATTGATTTTATATAACATGTAACGTCTATCCGTGTTACGATATGATATATGTTGATTACTCAATAGGTAAACGTTACTCTGCTATGTCCTTTCAGTACACCGTATATATTGTCTTCTTGTTGTGGTGTTCAGATTACGTGGCCGATATATTTGGTGCACTCAATAAAATGGCACAGGTGCCGGATGCAGCTATGATGAAAAACATAATCAGACAGACCCTGTCTGTTACCATGGCAACGAATTTCCATTCTTCTCTCACCTGAAAAAGATGAATCTGTCAATTGGCAGCAAATGTTGAATAATTCAATTTTCAAAAAAAAAATCGTCACCAACAACTATATCACATGACAACAATCTGCCCACGTACCTCAAAATCCCAATCATCAAATTTCAATCTTCGTGTAACAAACTCCAGTTCTTGTGATATTTTGTTTTGAAGAAGGTGTGAATTAATGAACGCTTCGTGGTTGCTCAGATTGGTTCGGAATTCATCGGAATAATCTCCCGGGTCCAGCGGAATGGTGGCATTGGTCTGACAAGACTTGTCTAAATGCACACTAGTGGAGCGAACAGTCGGACAGACTTTCCTTCTACTGTTCGCGATCACCTTCCCAGAAAGTGTCCTTAAATTCCGATTGTCATTCTTAAAGTGTAATGTATCTTTTTCGTCTAAATATCCCATATTATCACTGCCTGTCAAGCTACTTAAGCGAAGATTTGAATGTCGCACATTTGGCGCAACGGTAAGTGCGTCGTCTTCTCCGCTCATTACGTAATCATTTCGTAGTTTGTTGGCATCGAACGGGTATGGCATTAAGCACACATAGGTGGGTAGTTTATACAAAAAGAACCGTCGCACCCATTGTGGCATCCGGCACGTTCTCATGCTCCGATGATGCAAGTTTAATACAATGACAGAAAACATGATAGATAGCATTACTAGTCCCATATTGAAAAGTAAATATTTCCCAATAAGTGGTGTTGTATCAGAAGTCGGTGGCATTATGTCAAATATGAGCAAATTAAAAACGGATAATGCCAACAGAACCGATATACTGAGTGTCATCTTTTCCCCGCAGTCCGACGGCAAGTAGAACACTACAAGCGTTAACATTGACATCACTAAACACGGTACAAGGATGTTCAGTACGTAGAACAGCGGACGCCGACGTAAAACTAAGGTATATAGCACGACGCTATAGGCGTCCTCGGGGCAACACTCGTTCTGTTCGTATATTTCCAACACAGAAGAATTCGCCAGCTCCCATTCCACGTTTTTAACGTAGTTTTCAATGACTACGAAATCTTCCACTGGCGTCAGTCGTAATTCCACTGCCGTGAATTCCCACGGGCCGAATGACATATGACATTCTTGAATATCGAACGGGAAATATTGCACATCGATCGCACAGGGGCTTTTTAGGACCCCTGGCGGCGTTACCCAGACTGTGCCGTCAGAATATACGGTGGTATATTTCCAACGCGGTAGTTCGTAATTACCATCAGCACTGGAAGAGAAAAAAAAATACGAAAGACGATGAGATGGATAAACGTTACACACCACAGTGTACGTACCTGTTATTCAGAACTATGTAATAAGTGTACGTACCTGTTATTCAGAACTATG